TCTGCCACCTTAAAATTCTGTCCCGGTGGCTTTACTGGGTTTACACTGGTTTACAACACTGATTGCTTAGGTCGTTGTCAGATAATGAAGACACGTAAAATTATTGTAGAATTTTATCTCTGTGTGTTCATGGTGAATAATTTAAATAGTCAGACAGTGCTGCACATCTGTAACTGGGGAAGGACTGTGAGACCACTGTGAGCACACTGGGAATTTAGCACTGCTCCAGTCATTTTTCTTACTTTAAAGAATGACAGAAATTCTGCAAAATAGTGAAATTGTGACAAGAAATTGGAAATTACTGAAAAAATTCTTCTGTTTCCTGGACAAAGCTTTGAAGTGGATTGTCAAAATTATTAAGAAGTTCAGAAATTACTCTCTAATTAGAGTTATATTATGTAAGTATTTATATAATTTATACAGCTGTCAGTGAGGCTTAGCCTTTCATCAGAGATCCTTCCCTGTGTTCCAGCACTCTAAATTCATTGATTCTTCTTGATTTTGCCTTGGAAACACATATGAATGTCATACAGGGGGACACTCCAGACCCAAGCTAATGCCACCAGGAGACTGACTTTCAAAACACCAGCCACAGGTTTGTTAAACTCCATGGCTGGTACTTCTAGTGCTCAGTGCACCAGAATTAAAAGCTCTCATTTTTCCCTTGATCATGAGACTGAAAATGGCAACTTTAAAGCTGTGGGATTCATTTATCTCTCTCTTCTCTCAGCTCCAGGCATCTGTCATGCAAATTATTGTAAAATCTTTACAGATAAACCTGTGTGACGATATTTGTGGGAATATAGAAATAATGTGGGAATATAGAAATACAAGCCTGTATTTATTGACACAATATTCTTATAGATACATAGATAAAACTGTCTCTGGGCAAAGAAAGACAGGAACAGGAGCAGAAATCTTCCCTGAATGCCAGGATCAGAGAGAGCTCCACACTCCGCCTATCTATGATAGCAAGAGGATAAATTGTTTAGGTAGCACCTACAAGGCTTTGCCAGGAGCCTGAGCTTTGTTGGGAAACTCTGCCATTGAACTGGGCAGTAAATGCTGACTCTTTCAGGGTTTTCTCACTTTTGGGCTGGAATAAATTCTGGGAAGTGTCTGACAGCACTTGGGCTGGGCTCTTGGCTGTGCTGAGATGATCCAGGGAATGCAAAAGGGAAGAGTTGCCACATGATGGACATCCTAGTCCATGAGATTAGGGAGACTTGTGTGTCACAGGCTGAAGTCTGTGGAGGCAGGACTGCACACACTGATTTATGAGGAGCTCTCTCCCCCTCATTGCTGGCCAGGTTGTGCACTAGACTTCAGGTTAGGCAGAAAATTCCACTTCAACGTTGTTCTCGAGACTTCAGGGTCACCAAAGGACCATCAGATCAAGGGGATAAGGAACAGTCCACACCTAACACAGGGAAACTATTCCCTGATTAAGTTAAATGGAAAGCTGTGAAAGCTTCCATTGCATAGTAAGATCTAGCAAGCTCTGGAAAGACCTCCAAGGGAAATGCTGGAGGCAGAGCAAATGGGAGCTGTGATAAATCTGTTTGGCTCAGAAGAGGTGCACAGAAGGATGAGGGATTGGCTTGCCTGTAACCTGCTATGTAAAAGGTGAAGTTGAGGTGAAAGCTCAAGGTCAATGGCAAATTGGGTGTTTTATGGGAAATGGTTCCAAGCAACAATGGCTCCTTAGGATTCACTTGCTCTTCACCGTGTTACAGTGTTGCTTCAGGGGTAGGTTCTTACAAAAAAACCTACAAAACTATTTGCAAACAGGTACTGAAAAGATTAGAAATGTGTGTATGACACATTTGATTCTGAATCTGGAGGTTACATTGACCCTAGAGGTGTTTTCTGGGTGCCAGCACATTTTTGATTCTGAGCATAGCACAAAGCAGAACTTTAGAGAAGCTCTGGGCTGCATAGCCTTGCAACAGTAAAAAAAAATAGCAGAAATAGCTGACTTCACCTTTTGTTGTGATTATGTGGGGCAGTCAGCACCATTTTTGAAAGCTGCTTGATTTTTTTCCTAAAAATAACCTTCTGGGTCACTTTTAATCAAGTCCAAATGGCCAAGTCCCTGCGTTGGTAATTCTTCTATAAATAAAATATGACAAGGATACCTTCAAAACCAACATCCAAGCATTTAAACAAGTTGTCTCAAACTCTGTTTTGACTCCAGCCTTGTAAATCATTGCCAAATATCACACAGCTTCATGACCTAATCCTCTGCAGAGATATCTAATGCTGTGTAAATCTGTGTCAGGAGGGCAACACCACCTGTGATGTGTTTCAGGGTGACATTTGTGGCACTCAAAAGAAAATAGGAACCCACTCAGACCCAAAGTCTGGTCTTTTTGACCAGATTTGAACCAAAAAACTTCTGCCTTGGGAGAAAGAGCAGTTATGGGACACAAATCCGGGGTGAGGGAGGAATCCCACAGATGCTCCAACCAATGCAGTTTGCAGACCTTGATAAGATCCGATTTTAAGTCATCATGGGTGAAACTAGCAAAGAAGTATTGGGTACTCTGTATTTAATTAATTTTCATTTAGATATCTACATTCATTTTATGGATCAGTTTTACAAATTACTGAGTTTCCCTTGGTCTGTGAGTGTATGGATCTTGGTTTCTATCTCTATTTCTATCTTTATACAATCACTGAGCTGTTGTTCTCATCCCTTCAGCCTTTCTGAATAGGAACCTCCAAGGCTTTGTGAGGTTAAGGCTGTTTTCTGCACTAAACTTTCCACCAAAGACAGAAATATGTGCCACAGGGTTATTCCTATCATGATTTCTCCTTAATGCCAGCTATTTTTTTTTTACTTTTAAGATGACTTAATTGAATGGCTTTAGTGTATAACTACAGTGCACTTTTGCTTACTGCTGTTAGAAAAATCCTCAGCCCTTTATCATTATTTAGTCAACATTAAGTTAGTGGGAAGAGTGAATAAAAGGAGGAGGGTTTGAACTCTGTGTTAATGCAACTTCAGACTACAGGATGGTGAAAAACAAGGAAGGCAGAAAATGGGTGCATTGGTGAGCTGAAGATGTTTTTTAAATTAAACCCAGGTTTTTTTCTTCAACAGTGAGCATTGGGTGAGAAGGATTTGGGTGAAAGGAGCATGTCAAACCTATGGCATTGCTTACTCTGAAATGACTTAGGCATCATGCTCAGGTCACAGGTTCAGATCTGCTTTCCTAGAGATGGAAACAAAGGCTTTGCTAGTGATTTTTACCTCCTCAGTGTCTACAGAGCCTAAGACATCAGACCTTGAACCCAGTCTGCCTGTCTATCGTGATGTTCTTTTAGGGCACTCAGCACTAAAAGGCAGAAGTGTTTATTAAGCCCTTCCTTCTGCCCCAGCTGCTGGGTCTGTGCACAGGAGGTGAGTCTGTGTCACACCTTGTTAAAGAGTGACACGTTACAGGGTGACAGCCAGCCTCTGTGCCACTTAGTCATCTGCAGGGGGGGTGACTTATCCTGGCAGAAACCCCAGCTCAGGGTTTGTCTGAGACCTCCTGCCCTTAGTCGCCCACATGACACAATAAAGCCATCAGCAGGTAAATCATTTAACAAATTGAGCAAGTTTTTACAAAGGTGCTTAGCTGTGCAGACAACACTGGCATGTAAATAAATGCATATTCAGGAGGAAGGCTGCTCCACAGGGGACACTGTCTTGGGACTCAGGACCAGGCTGGTCTTGCCCTGATTCATCCCCGACCTCGTGGGTGATGCTGGGCTGGTCAGCCAGCAGTGGGCTTCACAGTAAAAAATCATCCCATCCTAAAATTAAAAGGAAAGTTTCTCTCCAGAGCTGTCAGTGTTTAAGGGGATGCTGGAGTTTCCTTACTCTAACCGTCTATTTTTTTATAATGTAAAGGAGTCCCTGCTTTTAGGCTTAGCTGCTGTCTTGAAAATAACAACAGCACCCACCCCTCAGAGATGAGCTTTGCACACTCCCATTGGTGAGCATGAAATATCTAATACTGTGATAACTGGGGCTGTGAAAATGGTAAGAAAAAAAAAAGAAATTAAAAAATAAGAAAAGGAACTGTGATAAGCAATATACACAGGTTTCTCCTTCTAAAAAGATAGTACTTTATAGTATGTGATGATTAACTCTGGTTGGGTTTTTTTGTTGTTTTGGGGTTTTTAAATACATGTAAATTGGCATGATACCTATGGTGTTGGAGAACTGTTTGTTTTCACTCTTTGCTCAGTAAGATTTCAGGCTGTGAACACTGATTTGAGCATGTAAAACCCTATTGCTCCATGTGTTCATAATCTCCACTGTCAGTTCATTCAGAATCCCATCCTGTGCCTGATACCACCCACATTTCTGACCACCTGGGGCACTACAAAATCTCTGGGAACATGAAGAGCATGGGAACCCCTCCATGCTGCTTCCAGATTCAGAAAGTTCATTTCAAAGAAATAGTCTTTGAAAAGTGTGAACCTCAACACTGAGCACCTGTCAAATTTCCATCTCCTTTAGAGACCATGCAGAAACCAGAAAAAGTGAATAAAAGCAGAATGGAAAAGCCATGCACATCATTCTTTTAAGGTCTGTCGTATAGTCATGTCTGCCAGCAATGTAGGAGACTTGTTTCTAATCAGTTGAAGACTAGTGATTAAATGTAAATACCAAATCCTTAATCTCTGCTGGAAAGGGTTAGATGTGCTTTCTTCCATAGAGATCTAAATTGTAACACTTACCTGACTCGTATTTTGGGCAGAGGAAGATACACACACCTCAGGGAGTGCACAGGTAGGTCTGTTATGGTGATCTCCTTTCTTATCCACTTTGTGAAGAATCATCCTTTCTTCTGTGTGGATCCAATGGAATGGCTCCCATTTAAGACTTTTTTCCCCACTGTTCCACTAACCAGCTGTTTCTTTCCAGGGAGGAAAGTCAGAGGAGAAGGAAAACAGCAGGAGTGTTCTAACAGGTTGAATTTTTGCTTTGTGTCTCCATCCAGGTCTCTTTAATCAGCCTGGTTGCCAACACCCTTGGATACTCCGAGATGGGTCCCATCAAATCGCTCAGGACCCTCCGCGCCCTGCGGCCGCTGAGAGCGTTGTCACGGTTTGAGGGGATGAGGGTAAGAGGACACAAATCATCCATCAAAGCTCAGCTTTGTGTGGATCCAAGTGTAACAGGGGGTTGTTGCACGTGGCTTTGTCAGCCAAAGGACATGAATGATAGTGCTTTATCAAAGCAACAAAGAAACCCTCTTCGGTCTTGGTTGCAGTTGTGTCATTACATCTTTATCCTTGGGTGGACTTAGTGATAAACTAATTCTGCTGCCTAACTTGTCATACTATGCCTTAAAAAACAGCTTTTGGATGAGGGAACATCTGGCTATCAATTACCTCTCAATTATAAGGTGTATCAGGGGAACAACCAAGCTGAATTTTGCTCCCTGTTTTGACACACATTAAAATGAGAGTGACTGGAAAGTTCTTAAGGATGTTTTCACTAATAATTAAAGCAAAAATTAGAAATGCTAAAGATAGAGAAAGCAAATGAATGAATGATTTTTTTTCCCCCTTGAACAGATTGCAGTTTTAATGAGGAATGTTGGGATTAACATTAAAACCATGTAGCTTGTGCTTGTTGCTCCATCTTGTGCATCCATCTCTTCCTTTGCCACCGTTATATCCCACAGCATACCTGTTTATTTGTCAAGCCTACCTGCTAACAAGGATCAATTATTGTTTAGATAAGTACTTTATTTAATTTGTCACACCTTGCAGGCAGTGACAGCTGTGCTCTGTATAAACTGAGGTTACTGCTAACCTTGCAGATTGCATAGCAAGGTAAAGCAAATCTGTGACAAAATTCTGTGTCAAATTATATTGGTGATCCCAAATCTATCTGTTAGGTCAAGGAAAATGTTACATATTTCACAGTGATGTATATTCAGGGTAAAGCTTTCCTGTAGACAAATTTTGGTCCAAGTCATCAGTGACTAAATGTGTATTTCATGCACTGATCTCCCAGCAATGAATTATTCTCATTGCAATGCTCTCATAGCAAGAGACTGAAGACTGGAGAACTTTACAACTGAGGTGAGCTAGGAAATATGGTGATACAGCAGCGTAGGAAAACACATCTATTATTTTCCTCTTCTGTGGATGACCAGATTTGACAATATAATACTTTGTTCCAAGGATTCTGTGATTAGCTAAATCACATTATTTTTGTGGATGAAGATGAGGCAAGTATTGTTGCCGTCCACCTCTGTGTTAGTACTAAGACAAATAGATTCAAAAGGTTCTGTTTATCCAGGCACCCAAACCTGAATTGTTTTGGTCACCACAATCTTTCCAGTGGTCAGGCAATGTTTTGCAGGTAGTTGACCAAATGAAACAAAGCCAAAGTGTAAAGACTCAAAGTAAGGTTGCATTAATGACAATAATTAAAACTCTCACTCCTGTCATTTGATGACCTCACTCCAAGTCTTTATTAAACATTCACAGATGGAGCTATTTCAGCATTCAGAATTAGCAAAAGCAGTAGTTTGACTACCAGAGTGATTTGTGCACAGATTCTCTTAAATCAGTTCAGGTCTGGCTTATGAAGGCTTAGCTTTTACTGGTGGATAACAAAGCAAAACTCAGTGTGCTCTAAGATGACATACAATTGTTTACTCATGATTTCATATCAGTTTAGCTAAATTGGATTCAAACTGAATAGCAATGGGGGAATGAGCCAAAAACATCAGAAAAACATTAGTAGAATAGAGAAAAAGTAACATTAAAACTCCTCATTTCTCTCTGAGGATAGCAAGAGGCTGTCTTGGTAAAGATCTTAACATGGATCAGCCCAGCAAATTTCCTTCCCAAAATGTTCATTCTTACAGGCCCCTCAGTTCCTGACTCAACATCCTCTTTTCTTTCCTGTACTGTTGCTGCAGCTGAAATATATTCAGTCATTCTGAGCTATCAGAGGTGGTGAATTAGCTTGTAAACCACGATAAAATATAATTGAGAATACGTGCTATTGGAAAAGCAAATCATTTTAGTTTTAGTTTGTCTAACCACACTTAACAAGACTAGGGACAGTTAGACCTTTCATTATTAGGAGTTCATATGCTCCAAAATGCACAGGAAAATTGCCAGCACAGTGATGGATTAAATAATGATAATGTTGAGAAGCAAACACTGACAGTGAGAAAATAGTAAGAGTTTGCTATATTATAATGCCTCTTTCTTGAATAACTGAAACATCTCTGCAGGGCTAGAACAGGAGCAAGAAATCTCTCATTTACTGCAGTAAGACACATTTCATCAATGTTGTGCCTAAATTTTGGAAGCAATTTTGTCTGAGACAAAGGCACAAAATAACATTTGGGTGGCCAAGAGAACCCGTTGCCATCAGACCTCAGCTCTTTCCCTATCTTCAAACAGTCTGGCACCTGTGCAAGTTTGACACAAGTCTCAGCAGCTCCTATGCCATGAGAGGTCTGCAAAATAGGGATGAACTGGTGCCATCCTGCCCCTCAGTCCTCAGAAAAAGACCCCAGAAAGACCAGGATCCGCCCTGACACTAGTGTAGACCCAGAGGCTTTACACTCATGAGCCCAGAATAAAGTAGCTGCCTGTCCCATCTAATGACATCTCTCATGTCTCCTCATTTGTTGTCCATCAGGGAATTATTTCAGAGGTGGCACTTCCCTGCAAGGGAGGTTATTTGCAGTATTTTAGGAGGATGGGGGGGATGATGAGAGACCATTTACTGTGAAAGTGATACTAGGTGAAGTCATGGTGAGACTGCTACAAGATATATGCAGGAAAGGAACAGCATAATTAATGCTAGTTAGCATGATTTCATGGGAATAGTTCTTGTAATACCGAGATGGGCCTTTGATTTGATTACAAATTATGCTGATGACAGTAACTGTGCTGATACAGAATCCCTGGATTTCAGAGAGGAATCTGATACCATGAGACATTGTGATGAAAACACGAGCTTTGTACCAAGACAAGTAAACACATTTTAAAATGGGTGATGGAGCTCAAAAAGTAATTGTAAGCAGTGACCACACTGTAAATTTGGTGATGAGCATCTCAGGGTGAGGGATTGTTCAGAATGAGAACTATCTTTAATCTGTACTTTAACAGCATCTGGGAGAAAATATGAAATCTTTGCTGACAGCACTCAAAATGAGTGTAAGTAAAATTACAGATAAGGGAATTATGCTGGATGATCTGGATCACAGTGAAAAATAGATCTATTGTACAACACACATTTTAATAAACCTACATGCATCGGCTACCTCGGGAGGAGGAATGTAGGTCACTCTGGGGGAAGTTTCTTGGAAAACAGCAGCTGAGAAGGACATAGGGATCAGGATGACTGTTCAACAGGACACAAGCTTTTGGACCAGTCTGACAAATGAGGTGACTGCTAGAATCCCTGAATATGCAGGGAAATAACCCAGCAAACAGAGGGACAGTGCAGTGCTTCGACACTGGAATTCCATGAAAGTGCTGGAAAGGGGGAATTAAAAATGGGAAAGTCTCTGCAGGGAGCTACGAGTGTGATTAAAAATCTGAAAGAACCATGATAGCTACATGGAAGCTCTGATTTTTTAATTACCCAGAGCAATGTGCAGTGGTAACTCCCCCACAATGAAGATGGGAATGATAGGAGAAAACAGCTAAGAGCAGATGCCTCAAGTTCAGCAAATTCCACCTAAAAATGCAGCAACTGCTTCTAACACTGAGGACAAAGGGCACTAGGAACAGATTATCTAATAATACATTTTTTCCTCTGTTATTTGACATCATGACACTGTAAATTAGATGTCTTTGCAAAAGCTGTTCCTGAGCTTCACTGGGAGTTATAGTCTGGGTCTGAAATCACTGCAGGGAGTCTGATGGGCTCTCTCAGAGCAAAGGGAGGATTAACTCATCATGCAAGTCTATTTCTGGATTAAAAATCTGAATCAGCTTTGTTTGAGGAGGTGTCCTGTGAGATCAGGAGAGTGGGGACCAAACACAGGTTATAGATTGCACCACTCTGAATCAGGGCAAAGGGTGGCTCAGTTTCTAGGCTGTCCCTAAAGAAATCTCTTGGAAAGTGGTTTCACCTGTAAAGGTATTGATGGAAACCAACAAGGATGAAACTTTTTCTTATGCATGGATATCTATATCTATCTATATCTATATCTATATCTATATCTATATCTATATCTATATCTATATCTATATCTATATCTATATCTATATCTATATCTATATCTATATCTATATCTATATCTATATCTATATCTATATCTATATCTATATCTATATCTATATCTATATCTATATCTATATCTATATCTATATCTATATCTATATCTATATCTATATCTATATCTATATCTATATCTATATCTATATCTATATCTATATCTATATCATCTATATCTATATATATATCTATATCTATATCTATATCATCTATCTATATCATCTATATCATCTATATCATCTATATCATCTATATCATCTATATCTATATCTATATCTATATCTATCTATCTATATCATCTATATCATCTATATCTATATCTATATCTGTATCTATCTATATAGCCATTCCAAAGCGCAGCAGAAATTCCTCCTTCTCCATGGCAAACATGGAAAAGGTGTACAGCTGAATTTCTAATATGATAATATTAACTTCTAATTATGATAATAACCTGCCTTTATGTATCCAGGCCTTCCTCTCACTTGTCTCAGTACAAAACAAGAATGCTTCCACCAGAACAAATGGCATCACACTGGTGTAAGAGCAGAAGAAGCAAGGGAGGAATGAACCCCCCTGTTAATGATTCATTCAGAGAGGTGTTGCAGGATTTGCTGCAGCCTCATGTCGTGTTTTGTTATCTACAGGCCATTGAACATAACTCAGCAGAAGGAAAAAAGCAGGATGTGGGCACAGCCATCACTTGTACTGCTGAAACCTGGATGTCTGTGTCCTGTCACTGGGAGCTGGGTTCAGCAGCACATGAAACACAAATCCGTGTGGTTTTGCTGGCATGGGTTAAAACTGAAGAGGAATATTGTTGTGCAGAGAAACAAATGAAAACTACTTTGACAAGAGCCAAGGCTATATCCAAACAAGCCCTTGATTTGGAAATTATTTGGTATTTTGGTTAACGTGGTAAATTTGGTCTAAAAATGATGAGGTTAGAAATTGATTGACATCCAAAACTGAAAGATAAAATTAGCAAACAAAAACAAAAACAAACAAAAAAAAATCCAAGAAAAGTCATCAGGAATGGGCCTATACAGAAAAACAAAACAAAACAATTGGTCAAACAGCTTTTCCTGTGTGAAAATCAGCTTCATTCATAAATGCACAAAATATAAATCTGAGTTTTGGAAGATCTACATAATTTTGTATTGTGTGCTATAGAGGAAGCTGCTGCTATACATGCATGAAAAGCATTTCACTCCTCTGGGTATTTTTCTTCCACAACAATGCAAAAATGATGGAGAAGTGAATGTTGCATTATTAGCTTGTCAGAAAATTGGACACTAGCACAAGAGAAAAGAGCTGACATTTTCCATAATCCAATTCACCAATTGAATAAAGTTTAATTTTTATGGATCAATATCACCTTGTCTCAGTTTCAGAAATGTAGATGGAGAAGAAGAGCTGAGTGGTCTCCTATCAGATTTTAATCTCCAAAGCATGAGACAGGGATGGAGACAAATTCATGTGGTGGGGCTGGTGTCTGCAACTATGTGGGAGCCAGCATTGCCTGGACCATGCAGAGGGAGCATCTCCAAAGGCTGTGAACATGGAGAAACCTGGTTGGCATTGGAAGGGGAAGACTACATTTTGTGATAGAGTTCTTCCCTCAGAAAATATCTTGCATGGTGTGACTCTTGGGGTGTCCTGTGCAGGACTGGGAGTTGGGCTCAGTGATCCTTGTGGGACCCTTCCAGCTCAGGATATTCTGTGGTTCTTTAGTGTAAGGTTTGATGTGTATAGATGCCTTAACCACCTTAAGCCCTGACAGTGCTCAGTACAGCTCAATACAGTAAATGATGTGTCCCTTGCCTGGTGGGTGTAATGGTATTACAGTACTGCATCCAAACCTGGCAGCTGTAGAGGGTCTGTAGATGGCCTGAACCTTGTTTTTTTTTCTGCTTGGCTTCAGCATGGAGTCCATTTCCAGTGCCATTGTTCACACACTTTAGAAGCTCCTTCTGCTTTTTGTTTTAATATATGATTTTATGCAGGGCATTGCAGCCCTGCCTGGATTAATGTGTAGGAATTTTACAGCATAACACAGGAAAAAAAAAAAAAAAGGATTTTTTTGTTAAATTAGAATGATTTTGCTCTTTTAATCATACATACTGATCAGATAGGAGAAGCTGGCTTAGTACAGTATGTCTCAATCTGTTATTATTTAATTAAGCAAAATTTATCACAGCTATAGTTCACAGCTACAGAGTCCTGAGTGGGGTCAAAGATTTCAGAAACCTTTTTTTCTCTATTTTGAGTCACTGTAGTGCACCCCAGCCATTTCCAATTAATCACATTTTTATTATTATAGTTTGACTGAAGTGTACTATCCAGAAAGATTTGAGAGGTCAAGATGACTTCTGAATTCAGAGATTCCTCTTGAAAAAGCATCATCCCTTGGGTGGAATGCCAACAGATTCTTTCTTTGATTACCAAAAGGAAAAAAATAGTCATGTTTGAAGCCTTTAGGGGTGGTCTGGCTCCTTAGGTAGTGCCAGTGCTTATCCACCTGTCACCATGCAAGGGTTCAGACTCATTAATCAAGGGTGCACAGCAGCTTGTTAACGAAGTGTCTGTACAAGTGCTGACATTAATTCTGTTTTCCCTTTCCTGTTCCCCCCAAGGTGGTGGTGAATGCCCTTGTGGGAGCCATCCCTTCCATCATGAACGTTCTGCTCGTCTGCCTCATCTTCTGGCTCATCTTTAGCATCATGGGAGTGAACCTCTTTGCTGGGAAGTTTGGGAAGTGCATTAATAAGACAGAAGGAGATATGCCTTTGGACTCTAAAATTATTAACAACATGAGTGACTGCATACTTTACAACGTGTCGGGCACGTTTTACTGGACAAAAGTTAAAGTTAACTTCGATAATGTTGGTGCTGGGTACCTGGCTCTGCTACAAGTGGTAAGTGTGACCACCAGAAATTAAAGGGCAGGTGCTGCTGGTTCTCACTGAAACCATCCGTTTAAAAGCTCAGGTTAACCTCTGGGCTTTTCTGGGTTTATCAGCCTTACCCATCAGGACAATGTCTTTCCTAAAGAGTAAATAAATCATATTTTGCATGTTATCTTTTCTTAGATATATTATGGCAGTTTATGATTTTAATTTGAATTTCTGCTCCATCACTAACACAATTCTCTGGGAGGTGATCAGAATAATGAGGTGAATTAAAGACCGTTTTGTTAATATTGTAATCCAGAACAAAGTTCACTTCCAGAAAAAAAATCTGTGATACAGGAAGGACTGTCCATGCAAACAGAGTGCACTGACCTTCCTTAACAGCCTGGGATTTCACTATATCCTGCTGGGAAAAAAATGAAGTTATAGTGCCTCCAGTTTCCCAGCTGAAGTTACTGCATAAAGCTGTAGTCTTAATTTATGGCCCTCTGCTCACTTTCCGTTTTTAAGGACACTGGTGCCTCTCATGCTGATTCCTCACCTTGTGTCCACCTGCTAAAATAATGATTCAGATTGAATCTATGGATCATGGTGGGGATCAGGTTGTTGGCACTGCCCCTGGCCCAGCCTCTCTGGGAAGGTGGCAAGAGCACAGTGGAAAAGAGGCCCCTGAGGTTCAAAGATGCTGGAAATATTTGAGCTATAAAGGCAGAAAGAAGCCACTTCTACAACCTTTTTCACCATCAAATGTAAAATATAGATAAATGGGTTGTATGCACTGAGATTCACTGTGTTTTGACCCAGGACAGCCTAATAGAAAGAGCCACCACAGACTCCACCTTGTCCAGGCCCTGCTGGGCGATTTCAGACAAATTGTTTTGTGTTCCAAATCCACAGGGTCCTCATATGAAGTTATGAGGACCCTGTGTTATTTCCATTGTTCCTAATCTGGAGCCAGATGATGACAGGGCCTGGATGTGCACTTGGAATGTTTGCTGCATTGCATTTTTTGCACACAGAGTTAAACGAGCTCCTTGCTACATCCTTGGACAGGGAGGTTTCTTTCTTGAAATATCTATGATGGCATCCCTCGATTCTGGGATAAAAAAGTTGTGCTCTGGGAGCTCAATTCAATTGTCACATGCAGAATTCAGCCTTTGCAGAGCAGCGGGGTGCTGCCTTCAGCCCCCTCCTGCCCTTCCAAAGGGACACGAGCCTCCTGCAAGTCCCCATCAGATCTGCCAGCCCTTCTCCTTCCCAGGAGCAAGTTTGTTTTTCCCAGATCTGGTTTTCTCTGTCACAGGTGCATGGAGCAGCTCCATGAAGCAATTTTCCTTCCTCGTGGAAATCCTTGTTTTTACATGAGCAGTTCCTGGGACACAAACACTTGAGGTTGAGATTTGATCCCTGTCCATTGAATTTCTGCTTTCACACCCCCTGGAAAGCAGAAACATTGTAATGGGCACAACCACTTTTGATTCTTTCCATGACATAAACTTGCTGAGAGTGAGAGCTTTTATCTGTTGCACATAATTGCGATATTCAGCTCAGCCATGCAGGGTAGATCATTTCACTTTGAATGCCTTTAATTAGATTTTCTGTTCTATATAGTACTTTCTTTATCATTCATTTCAACATCCAATGTAGATGAGCAAGAATTTCCAGCTTTAAAATATTGTGCCTTACCTGAAGCTTCTTAATTCTTCTGATTACATAACAATTGCCTACTTTTTTGGGGGGGAAGCTCCATCAGAGACGTAGCTATTCCTTCACCATTTCTTTTATAAGAAACAAGCTCAAGTTTTCTGAAAATAGTTAGGTTTTTATAAGTGGACATTTCCTAAGGAATATCCTGAAGAAGTCTTTTCTAGTCACTTCTGTTGGGATCAGTGGAGGCAGAAGAAACATAACTGTTGTGAAGGTGGATCTCAGCACACATTTGACAGGAATGGGCTAATGCTGCTCTTTTCCAGTTGAAAATTGATTTGATGACCCTGCAGGTTTCATTCAAACCTGTGATCCTGATTTGGGTAGGAAAGAAATAGTTTTTCCAGTTGCAAAAGTACAAAAGAAGTGTCATAAACCTAGGCCTGGTCAGGCTGACCAAACTGATTTTAGCAGGAAACAAGTTCAGCTCTTATGGCAGGCGGCAGCTCCTTCTTCAGAGAGGAAGAGCAGGAGCCAGTTACCATTAGGGGATTGATTTTGGCTTTAATCCCGCACCTGGAGCTCTTATGTCTGCTGCTGACCAGAGGCAATAAAGTGAAAAGGTGACACAGGCAAAGAAGGGGCCCAAACATCTGGATCTCCTTTTCCAGGAGCGTCGGTTACAGGCGCCCCTTGCCAAATATTCTCCACGAGGGATCACATTTCACCAGCAAACCCCCGTGGGAAATGCAGGGGCTCAGCTGACAGCCCAGCTCTCCTAGAGAGACAGACACCTCCGTGCATCCCTGTGCACAGCAGGACAAGGAGGAGATAAGCATTTGGGTTACTGCCTGCCAGGATTTAAAACATGAGAGTTTAAGTGCGACTTGTCTTTTGACTGCTGACATTTTCCGCTGCCACAGCGTGGATCTGAGCGGCTCTGAAGTTCCTTTGGAATGCCTGCAAATCCAAATGGAAACGTGTAAAACAAATCTGCTTGATGTTCTGTCTTCTTCAGCAGCATATTTGAAAGAAATGTAAGTTGCTGCTATGGAAACTTTAGGACATACTTCTCTCCAGAGGAAAGCTTTCTGACAATGTAGTTGAGAACTGCATGAAATTTTCCCTAAATATCTTCTGCTCTCTTCCTACCTTGAATGGGATCCATTGTGTTTTCCTGAAGATGCCCCTTTGGGTTAATGAGGCTGAGAAAAGTCAATCATGTCATGAAAAGTCAAGTGTCAAGCTCCTCCAATGAACAAACAGGCTGTCCCAAAACAGGTTAATAAAATAACAGAGATAACTCTGTGCTCACTCTACAAGCAAGAGGAATGCCTAATTCATGGGAAAGATCTTTGCCATCACAACTTTTTGACTTGCAAGAGGGATGATTTCACTTTCCTGGTGATTTAGCACTCCTAAAACCCTAATCTAACAGGAAGAAGGTCTTGCTACAATCTGGTGCTTCAGGAAAAGTTTTTCTGTATTCCAAATTTTCTTAAAGTATCACAGCACCTATGTTTGATAAATCTGTATTTGAGCTGATCAAAGAAATATCTGAAATTCCCAGCAGTAGTTTTGCATTTCCCTTGCGTGATCCCACCCTTCCACCCTGTGATCACCTCTGCATATTTTTTTGCAATGTATTTTGAAATTTCAGACATCTGTTGAAGAATACCCAGGACATAAGTGGTCTTTCATGCAGCATCTGGCTTGTTTGGAGAAGTTCTTCTTAGACAGAATGGATTTACATTGACTATATCCTACTTCTCTTTGAATATGTCCTATTAACTCTGTCATTTTGGGACTCCAGATAAGGAATGAGGAGATAACAGAAGCACTCCTAGACCAGCACAGCAAGCAGGAGCTGCAGAGTTAAAGGAATCCCTCATGCCAGGTTTGAAACCCCAACTGAGCCCATAAATCAAACACAAAATGGTCGTGAGGCAGCCCTGTGTGTCTAAAGTTACTGTGTTACAAGATCTTTTGCACTTCTGTAAGCAGCAATGTGTGATTTTACTGTCACTGTGGATGCAAAATGTGCAAAACAATCTCTGGCTTAGCCTTCATAAATTTCTCTCATCAGCAGTAATGCCCAGAGAAACATTTCAGCAATGTGAAGGCCAGTGTTTTCCATGAAAAGTGGATATTTTAATTGAAAAATTTCCTTTTCTAGAAAAAAAAACAAGATAAAAAGAATGAGAAAAAAAAAGAAAAAGAAGAAAAAGAAGAAGAAGAAGAAGAAAAAGAAAAAAAGTAAAAGAAAAGGAAAAGGAAAAAGAAAAAGAAAAAGAAAAAGAAAAAGGAAAAGAAAAAGAAAAAGGAAAAGAAAAAGAAAAAGAAAAAGAAAAAGAAAAAGAAAAAGAAAAAGAAAAAGAAAAAGAAAAAGAAAAAGAAAAAGGAGAAAAAAAGAAAAAGAGAATTAAAGCCCAACAGCTCACAGATTTAAAGACTTTCTCTACTTCAAGGTACCATTTGTTCTGAGGGCAGCCAGTGCCATCCCACCTATCCTCCTCCCCACTAATTTGCTGCATTGCAGCTCTAACCACCAGTGAAATAATGAAATGTAATCCCATCCCAGGATGAGTTTATCGGTAGATAATCTCATCACATGACAGTTTCAGTAGAAAATGGTGTTTCTCTGGATAGCTTCCAGGCAGGATAATATCACAAACACTCCCATGAAGATTTTGTCACTTCCTTATCCAGAGTGCAAGTGGTTACTAATTCCAGATAAATAATTTCTTTTCTCAGTGTTATATTTCTTTCATTCTCAGTATCTTTTACCCTCTGCAGCTGAAGTGTCCAGTGAAGCTTTCCAGATGTCCCACAGAATTTTAATTCTCTTGCTTCTCGACAACTGGGAGAGACAGAAAATCACAGCACTTCATTCTCTTAATATTTATTTTTGTCAGATCACTTCATCATCCTGTATCACTAAAAAACCACTGTGCCTTGCAGCAGAGTCGCTGGTGTCTGTGGTACACATTGAGGAGTAAAATAGCTGCTGAAGAGAAAAGATTTCCTGCCAAGTGGGAGAAAAGTACAGGCTAAGATCATATCATTTTGTGCCACAGGGAAAGGATTTCTTGTTTCATCCCAGCCACCCTTCCTGAACAGCACTTTGAGCTGAAAGCTCTAACGGCACCAGAAAGGCTTTCATCAGATTAGAAAGAGAACGGCAAAAAAGGAAAATATTAGAATATTTAGGGAGTATCAGCATGACAGGTTCAAATAATTATTTGTTTTGATAAAACTGCTGATCCTTCCTGTAGATACTTCTCATCTAAAGTGGTTTTTAACACACAGCACCATGGAAGAGATTTTCCAAAGGGTTCTGATTTGGGGGAGAGAGTTAATCTCTTTCAAGCAGTAGATAAGAAGAGGTGCAATCTTTCAAACACTATTTTATATATACTTTCATGAGAAATATCATTGATCTCTTGTGCATTTTCCTTTGGCTTGGTAGCATTCAGAAGAAATTGGGAAGGCAGCATTACCTCCAGGAGTTAATATAATAATAGAGATCTCTAAAACCGCTGAATGTACCCACCTCAGCCCAGCTGCCTGGGTTTCTCTTGGTAACTTCAGGTTAAATTCCTACTGGCATTATCTGGAATTGTATGCCTACACAACAGGGGAAAATTAAGTGTCAGTAGGATGCAAAAAAAATATTGGGTGTGGGTCTTACATGCATGCCAGTGTAAATCTGATGAAATTAATAAATCTAAAAATGTTTCATTATCTGCTCATGCTGACTTAGGTCAGGGTAGGTCTAAATAGGTCAGAAGTCAAATGAGAAACGACTCTAGAGAGCCCAGATAAAGGCAGTGGGGCTTAGGCCAGAGTCAGACCTAATGCCAGGTGTGCTTGGCATCAGGCTGTGCCTAGTAAGAGTCATATATTGAGATCAAAGAGCCATGGCTTTGCTACAGAATAATAAAAAATCCCTTCCCTGTGTTTCTCCTAGGAGTGCTGTCGCTGCCCTTCTGCATTGAACATTCCAATAAGAGACATTGGCTTCAGTGGAATCTTTTATTTAAACAATTATTAAAAAAAGAAAAAATAAAACCACTGACTTTGTAAAGCTGGATATAAAGACAATCTGAACAGTAAAGGAGATTGAGTTTCCAGGGCCAGGCTTACAGCAGGTGTTGATTGCCTTTGCTCCTTTCAAGTTAGCTGTGATTTATGCAGCTCCCTGGACTTTAATATTGTCGTGATTTGCCCAGGTTTAGAAGAGGGCAGAATCCAAGATTCAGCAGGATATGGATGGGATCCATCTCACTTGGTGCAAGGCCTGTGCAAGACAACATTCTTTAATGTTATGTCTAGTCATATCTCCTCATTACCTGAAATTTTTAAGGTCAGAACATCCAAAGATTTAATTGTTATGTTTTCTCTCCTTCTTAAAATCTGTTATCAAAGCCTTTCTTTTATCCCTGCAAGAGCAGAAAGTCAAAAATCAGAAATGAGAAAATCCAGGAGAGAACCATTCTGGAATGAATTTAAATATCTAAATGAACATAAACTCAAGGATACATATTAGATTGCAAGGCAGGCAAAGCATTAATTGTGAAGTACATGCTCAACATGGCATTTTGAAAGTTCATCACAGAGATGATAACATTTTGGGGTGTACTTTTTTAATACACTTATGTCTTATGTGGGATTTTTTTTTCAGGCCACATTTAAAGGCTGGATGGATATTATGTATGCAGCAGTGGATTCAAGAGAGGTAAGTCATCAAGGAAATTAATAATTTCCTTTTCCATTGCCTTTTACAGCACTGATGATGCTTAACAACAAGCACAACAAAATAAAATACATGCAAGGTGCCAGTCTCTGTCTTACTCCATCTGGGACAGTTGCAGTCCCTTGTTTGTAGCTGTACTGAAGCATGATAACCCTGAAATTAGAGTAAATGTGGCCCTTACTCCTGCACAACTGATTTACCTATTCCTACTGCAGAATTCCCAGCACACAGAGGCACCTCAAGAATGAGTCTGAGTCCACCAAAGACCTAAATTGTTGTCCATATTTCTTGCCCTCCGCCATTTACTGCCTTATTTTCCAACTTCTGATGATAACATGTCTTTAAAAGTGCTGGGTTTAAGTTTGAATTGCTCTGTGAGACAAATATTTAACCCTCCCTACACCTTCACTTTGAACAAGTGTCTTTTCTGGAGCCAGCAGCTCGTCTGGAGGAGTGTGGAGAAGCTCCTGGCAGACAAAGAGGGTGGTGTGAGTTCCAGCTCTGAGATGTGCTGGTGGCTGGTGACAGCTCAGTTCTTACCTGTGTCCTGCTCAGCTTTCAGGTTTCCATAAAAGCAAACAAACAAAAAAAGCATTTCCCTAGCTACACCATGTGTGGCTTGTTTATCTTTTTATTGAAAGACCTATAGTATTCTTTCCTTCTTTTAATTATGTTAGAGGAACAAGTTTACACTTATTGTTAACTTTTGAGGCAGCTGTCTGGAACTAGGAATTTGACGGGCTGAATTTAGGGCAAAAGTCCAGGCCTAAGGGGAGGAACAAGGAGTGGAAGAGCTCCATGGCACCACAGGAGCAGAGAAGTATCTTTGCATAACATAGCTCACAATGGTGATTTATTCTGGTACTACATGTGCACAGCTATCCTCCCTGCTGCTGAATGAAACTTATGGATTACCCACAAGAAAATATGGCATTTAGGGAATGCACCTTGTTTAGATACCAGGAGCTGATGGGGTAAATCTGAGCACTGTTGCCAAACAGTGGTGACTTGAGGTTATCCGGCTGTGTTGCTCAGTTCTTCAGCAATAGACCTTTTCCCATTCCACCCCTCATTAAAAGAAAATTGTACTTAAAAATACAGTGTACTTAAAAATACAGTGTTTTTCAGTAGGATTCAATTATACCACAATCATACTTCTGTTTTATTGTAAGCACCATTACTTCATGTACATTAGAATAATCAGGAAATTGATTCTTTTCCCCATCTGGGTTCAGACTGAGAACGTTTAGTAGGATTTATTCTGGAGTTGCACTTTCTGGAGCAGTGTGATTGCTGTGACAGTGTTGTGAAGTGTTGCTGAAATGACTGTGGCATTGCAGATGCCAGTGGTAAACTTCAGAGACCAAGGAGAGATGACTGCTGACAGGAGTTACAGTATTTTTCCCATATTTCATAACTTTTATTTCCAATGGACAGCTTTGTTTTGACTGCATCAATATTTTGATGTGTGCAGAGGTGGTGTCATTTTCACACTTTCCCTTTTCCCTTTGCAGTGCGAGGAGCAGCCTGAATGGGAATTTAATTTATACATGTACCTTTACTTTGTGATTTTCATCATCTTCGGGTCTTTCTTCACATTGAACCTCTTCATTGGTGTCATCATTGACAATTTTAACCAACAAAAGAAAAAGATAAGTAGAGCATATGCTACACATCATCTTGTGACTGCTGCAGGGACCAAGGCCAGGAACAGATTTATCAGCAATAGCTTTGCCACAGCAGCCTTGAGATCAGAAACCACCTTGCGGGATTTTTACAGCTGTAGCAGTCCCTAGTGTCTCTAGAGCATGAGCATCCTGAAAATATAGGGTGGGGGACTCTATTCCCCACAGAATGCAGCAAAGCAGCTCAGGCAGAGGGGATCTCTGGCACAAAATTTGACACAGGGTCACAGACTGGCCTGGTGTCCTGTGTGCACAATCACCACCGTCCCCCTAAGCAGTCCAACCTGAAGAAAGCTACATTTAAAGGGAAATGAAAGTGAAGAGGATTCATGCTTGAGCTTTGGAAGGGGGCAGAGGCGAGCCCTCTTCATCAAAAGTGATAGTGTTGTTCTCACCCTATACTTAGGTGGCCAGGACATCTTCATGACGGAAGAGCAGAAAAAATATTATAATGCAATGAAAAAGCTGGGATCTAAGAAACCTCAAAAGCCAATCCCAAGGCCACTGGTAAGAATGGCATAATTCAGTTGAACTTTGTGTAATAGCTGAATGTTTATTTACTAGAATAAGCACCATTCAACACTCCAGTGTAGGAAGGTTTATTGCTCCCACATGAAAAGCACTTAATAATTACATGTTTTGATTTTGGATGATATTTGCAAGTCCAGTGGACTGTGGTACAAAATTCCCTCTGTTCTGCAGCATTGACTAACATTGCAATTTACATGTGCCATTTACATATGCCAGTGGCCACCTGCCTGTACTGAATAAATTCATGGCCAGAGTCCAGTCTTGCTTACAGTAGTTTCAAAAAGCATTAGGAGCAAATGGGTTTGAAAACTCCATCAAAAAAAACATTCATCATCACTTTTAAATTTATGAAGTTCCAATCAGATGCAATATATTGTCTGTTTTCCTCTACTTTCTGATAAATCAGGAGACAATTACATCATTTTTCCATGGCTGAAATTTCCCAACTAAACCTTATCCTTTCCCCCAGAACAAATACCAAGGTTTTATTTTCGATGTCGTCTCGAAACAAGCCTTCGATGTCTCCATCATGATTCTCATCTGCCTTAACATGGTTACCATGATGGTGGAAACAGATGACCAAAGTCAGGAAAAAGTGAACATCCTCCACAAAATCAACATGCTTTTTGTTGCCATCTTCACCGGGGAGTGCATCTTCAAAATGCTGGCTCTGCGACACTACTACTTCACCAACGGCTGGAACATTTTTGACTTTGTGGTTGTGATTCTGTCCATTGTAGGTAGGTGACCCTCGATTTCCACCCAGACTGCAATGTTAGAAAGGCAGAGGTAAAATTAATTGGCAAAGTTGAAGGGTTTGTGCAGTAATACATGCTTTCAACTCAGAGAGTTGAATCCTAAACACAATTTTAATATGTAATTATAACTAACATACCACTGGCTAACAGAAACTGGTTTGATCAGCAAAATTAGGTTTGTCAAACTCTACATTTAATGGTTCGTGGTGATAAACATGAGCTGTCCACCACATACACTTAATACCAGTTCTGCATAACAGCCAATGACAGAGAAGTAAAAAAGCCACATGAAAGTGGCACATATGGATTGCTATTGCTCTGCTATTTGCTTTTCATTACAAAAGTTTAAAATAGTCCTTCAGGGCAGGTTTGGGCAGTGAGTTTAACTTTTCTCAGCCTTGTCAGTGGAGCTCTGCACCTTCATACAGCCAAGGGATGAAACAGCAAGAAAGAGTTTTATTGTTAGCTTGGGCCATTTGTTGTTCTGCAGCCCCAAAAAAAGATGTATTTAGTTGCTAAAGAAGTGCAGGTCAAATGAACCCAAAATCCTACCAAAAGAGTTTTCACTAAAGTTGGAAGTAGCAGCAACTGGAAGATGATCAACTGCTCCAGTGAGCAAAAGGAGCTCAGAAATTCAACTCTCCTAAAAAAATAAGTTTCCATTTTGAGGGAGGGAATAGGTGAATGAAAAAGTGTCATGTTAGGAAAACATCAGCTGATGCTCCTGCTACTCTGAACACCCTGTAGTGGACTGGGGAAGCTGCAAGATCCCAGTGCAGATCTCTGGTGCTCAGAGACCCACCTGTGCTTTGGGGGCATTGAACAGCCTGGATGTCACAGATTTGGGTCACCCAGGGAACGTCACTGCCACGCAGCTGTCGCCAGAACCTTCAGGTCAGGTGCTGTGGATATGCCCACAGCACACAGTTAACCAGAGCTGTCATGCTGCTCACAGTGCTGTCCCATGATCAGCCAGGTTGTCTCAGTGCCAGAGGCCCTGGGCCATGCCACAGAGCCCTTTTCCTGCAGGAGACAGGCACTTAGCACAGCACAGTGCAGCTGGGAACTTGGCATTAGACTGTCTGGACCAAGTGCTCTGCTCCTGCAGGAAGAGTTTAATACAGAGGTGCAACCTCATTTCCTTGCTAGCAGAGCCTTAGCCCTTAATTCTCTCCCAGCCCATCAGGGAAACTGGAAAAATTTATCAGCAAACAACCAACCAAGTGGATACACAGTAGAAATCTGCACTGTTTTGGTCCAGCACACCAGCATTTCTGACTCATTATTTTACAGACAAAAATGTTGTCATATGAGACAAATTCTGACATCTGCACTCAAGACAAATTTCTCAGGTGGGTCATGGCCAAAAGCTGCAGTTATCTGTGTCTTGGCTTGATCTTGGTTTCTCATTACCAGCAGAAAAGCCTTCCCTTAAAAAAACAGCCACTACCATTCTTTGCTTACTCTCTCACAAGTTCTCATGGATTAAATGGGTGTGAAAAAGCAACAATGCCTTTCCCTTTATTGTGAGCCTTCCAATCTGGGCAACTTTCTATTTATTTTCTTAATAATCCTGACTGATTGCTTTAAAAGGAAAGCCTGGGGTTATTTCCCATGTACTAATTTGCTGTCTTTCTTTTTTCCTTTTCAAGGCACTGTACTTTCTGACATCATCCAGAAATATTTCTTCTCTCCCACACTCTTCAGAGTCATTCGTTTGGCTCGGATTGGCCGGATCCTGAGACTCATCCGGGGAGCCAAAGGAATTCGAACTCTGCTCTTTGCCTTAATGATGTCCCTACCTGCCCTGTTCAACATTGGCCTCTTGCTGTTTCTGGTCATGTTCATTTATGCCATTTTTGGCATGGCTAACTTTGCTTATGTGAAGAAGGAGTATGGGATTGATGACATGTTCAACTTCCAAACCTTTGCTAACAGCATGCTCTGTCTCTTCCAAATCACCACATCAGCTGGCTGGGATGGTCTTCTCAATCCTATTTTAAACACCGGACCACCGTATTGCGACCCAAACCTTCCCAATGCAAATGGTTCAAAGGGAGACTGCGGGAGCCCCGCTGTAGGGATTTTCTTCTTTGTTACGTATATCATTATATCATTTCTCATTGTTGTAAACATGTATATAGCCATTATTTTAGAGAACTTCAGTGTAGCCACTGAGGAAAGTACAGAGCCTCTAAGCGAGGATGATTTTGATATGTTCTATGAAATCTGGGAGAAGTTTGACCCCGAAGCCACTCAGTTTATTGAGTATTCTGCACTTTCAGACTTTGCAGACGCGCTGTCAGAACCTTTGCGCATAGCGAAACCAAACAAAATCAAACTCATAGCGATGGACCTGCCCATGGTCAGCGGAGACAGGATCCATTGCTTGGATATTTTGTTTGCTTTTACAAAAAGGGTGCTAGGAGAATCCGGAGAGATGGATGCCCTTAAAATACAGATGGAAGAGAAGTTCATGGCAGCGAATCCCTCTAAGATCTCCTACGAGCCGATTACAACCACTCTCAGGAGGAAGCAAGAGGAGGTCTCCGCCATCATCATCCAGAGGGCCTACAGGAGACATTTGTTCCGGCGCTCCATGAAGCAGGCATCCTACTTGTACCGGCACAGAACTTTGGAAAGCAGCATCCTGGAGGACGATGCGCCCGAGAAGGAAGGTCTCATTGCGTTCATGATGAACGAAAACTACGGCAGGCCAATAGACAAATCAGAAACTCTGTCCTCCACCTCTTTCCCTCCATCCTACGACAGCGTCACCAGAGGCACGAGTGAGAACCTCCAGCTGAAGATAACGGACCTGAGCAAAAGCGATGAGGCTATAGATTGTCTCCTCTCACCTGACAAGGATAAAGAATCAATTGTTTAAATGTTTGTTTAGAATGCTTTAAAACATTGTTTACAGAATGTAATGCTGTAACTACACAACGATTGAAGCAGCCTTCTTATTAAAAATTAGTTGCAAAAGAAACAGTGGAGTTTTTACCCTTAACTACAGGAGTCTAATAAGTCATATAACATTTGACCCTGCTCTTTTTGACTTGGCTCAATATTTATATTTATATATGCACAGGAAGATTCTCTGCAGGGTCATAGCTGTTATATCAATGGTGTGAATAAGAATAGGCTAGACTGTAAAACAGTAAACACAGTGTATATCTATCTACAGTTAAAGCCTGGCTGTATACATTCATTTAAGGTCTTACTCATATTAGTGTGTTTACTTATGGCAATGTATGACCTTGCATTCTAAAAAGAAAAAAAAAAATCACAGCTGCTGTAGCAAAATGTAACACTTACTGTATATGTTGTGAATGGTCTTTCATAAATTTATTATATTTGATATTTTTTTACTTAAAAAAAAAAAAAAGAAGTCTCTTTTTCCATGGAGATTAATAATCCTTACACTCTTCATGATGAACTCGAGTCAAGGTAATAGGAACTTGCGGGATCCCCATCGCTTGAAGAGGAAAATTGTTGCAAATTGAAGTATCAAATTAGCAACATTTAAACTGTTGATTACACTAAGCCCTCCCTCTTGGGACTTGCAACTGCACATCAGCAGAAACACACACACACTCACACAAAAAAAATAAAAATAACCAGAGAAGCAAATGATGTCAAAATAATGAGAGAAATGGCTTGTTCTTATCCTTCAGGAAACTAGACAAAAATGGATTCTGTTTGTAAAACTGTTAATAAAAGCACTAATTTTTTTAGTATGTTTCAAGAATCTGCTTTGAAATCCGCAATCAAACTCACCATAGAAGTAGCGCATCACGTTTGTGTGTAGTGATCCAAAGCACCATCTAGGCTGGCAAAGTTTCTGTTAAGGTAGTGGGATAGGTTACATTTTCCCCAGGAACACTGAGTTAAGCAGCCTTATTTGGAACTCTGTACATCAATATTACTCAAAAAAAAAAAAATTACTAATACTATTAATAGTAATAAATCAATGCCAACTGGGCAGTGCAGAACAGCTGCAAGAGTGTGATCAAGAAGGTGGGAGGGGAATTACCTCTGGTTCTGTACACAAATGTTGAGGGTTTGAATCCTTTTTACTCAAGGTCCATCTTTCATTTTCTCAGATAGTACAGTTAGATTTCTGGGGAAGGACAAATAATACAGGAACTGATAAAAAAAATCTACTAGATAGTAGCTATATCCTCATTCCTGTAGGTAAAGTAATATTTACAGTTCATGTGTCCTTCAGCTTCAGGCCAAAGAAATGACAGTGGGGTGAAAGGTAGATGTGTGGCTGTAGAAAAGATTAGAGGTTTTTATGGGCTAACATAGATTATTATTTATTATCTTTCAGCCTCGATAGAATGTGAGAAACTATTTATGGAATATAGAGACATGTCCATCATTACAGACAAGTTCTTTCTTTTTCACCTTCTGACTGATTGTACTTGGGCTTGGTTGGACTTCATGGAAAATCCTGAGATTTCTGTAATGAGCCATTGCACTTTAAAGGAAGAGTAATTGTGCTTTTTCACCTTGGAGAAGCAAAGATATCAAGAATGTATTTAAGGTGTATTGTCATTAACATTTAGTTACATCCCAGGTTGTGAAGGAGTCAAAAAAACACATGGGGTTGGCAACAAGAATTAAAGCAACATGTTACAGTCAAGCTTATCTATGGCCATTGTTATCTGTCCTCTAAACAAGTCAGAATATGTATGACAACATGTCAAAAGGATGACAATGTATTTGTGTAAATATGGGCTAATATATTCTCTCCATTCATTGAGAGGTGTCTCAGGCTTCACTTGAGAGTGGTCTATTGGTTAATTCAGAGGATTTGCCATCAGGATTCCTGGGGTCTATTCCTGATTCTTACTACATGATTTTTAGGCAAATAATTTAACCTATCTGTGCCTCAGTTTACCCATCTGTAAAATGGGAATAATAATACTTACCTACCTCACAGGGGTGTTGTAAGACTTTCTGATTGCAAAGTGCTATAAGGGAATGAACCATACTATATAAGTATTATTATAATCATGCTCTCTTGCCCTTTTAACCCCATGTCTATGGTGTATAACATAGGGCTGTTCCTCTGGGCATTTTGTTGCCTTTAAATCTTGTATGTAATTAGATTCTAACTTAAGGGGACTACTCGTCATTCCTTGAAGTAAAAACATTCTTTATTCCTTCCCCCCCTCCCCACCCCTCACCTCCCCCAAAAACTCAGAATTGCTCAAGGCTTCTCAAATTAGAGAAACTTTATACAAATTCCCTGTGTATTTATGCTGTAATGTTATTCTGACTGTACATATCACCCAGAAAGAGTATGCGATTTTTATATTTATATGCATATATATATATATACACACACACACATACTTATATCTATACATATATATGTATCTTGTGAGTTTATAGAGTGGCTGACACTCAGAGGACACAACTTACTGATTAAAATGTTTTCTCCTCAATGGGATTTATCGATCATTAGCAACAAGCTGCTGCCTATAATGAAACTCTTTAATTAGAAAATAGTACATTAATTACTTGCTGAACAAGCATTTATTGGCTGACAATTTGCAAAATTATTTTCCTTTCAAAGCTTTAGAATTAAATAAAAAAAAAAAAAAGAGGGAAAAACACTAAGGAAAAGGAACATTTCTCATGTGATTTCTTTTCACATATGATGTAAACTGTCTGAAACCCAAGGAAAACGCCAGCCTACACTCAGAAGTGAGTTGTTGGTTACGTTGCTTTAACAATATTTTAATTATTTGCAACTTATATTAGACAATATTCAACTGCTGTTCTTATTAAGAGTCAGGCCCAGTAATGAATGGAATGTAAAGAGACAATTAGCTGGTCACTGATTTTATTAGAGAAGAGCCCTTCCTTTGGTCATTTCACCCCTGACTTGAACATTTTAGTGTCATTGCTGTGAAACCCTATATTACTGATGCAATTACAAATGGTTCTTTTACCCAAAACCTTTAAAACAAAATAATAATGCAAAAATATCGGAAAGAGGGTCTTAACTCTAGATGTTTACAGTGCAACTTTCTAAAAGTGAATTGTAAATTACTTTCAAAAACCTTTGTAACTGGAAGGTCGGCTTTCTATTGGGTTTTCTGTTGTTCTGTGGCGTATTTTAGGGATGAAGAGGGAATGGAATCTTTGTATGGTATGCAGAACTCCCCTCAAAAATGTCAAATAACCTCACTTGTAGATCTTTGTTACTGGAGATGCCGATCCGAATCGAGCCATGATAAAACCTCCCAGTGCAGTGATTTAGTTTAAGACACTGACTCAATAGTTGGCCCACACTGTCTATAAGCATGGTGAGTGCTACCATTTTTTTCTGTTGATTTGTTCAATAAAGGCTATCACATGAATCACTCAAGCTACAAAAAGAGCAAGGAAAATATCAGCCAATATCATAGGACATATTAAGCTGTTTGTACCTGGAAAAATTCAAGTTTATTATGTTTCTTTATTAAATAAATAAGGATAACAAATATTTCCTCTGCCTTTTTTTTTTTTTTTTTTTTTTTTTTTTGGTTACATTGTCAACATTTATGTTATTATTTCTCTTTTTCTACATATTTGTTTGGGAAATGCATGGTGACTTTTGCTAGGAGATTTGTTGATGAAAACCCCTCCAGTTCATCTTACATGGGAATGCAACCTACAAAGCATTAAAGGTTTGATCCAAAGCTCCTTGAAATCAGTGGAGAATTGCCAGCTACATCAGATTAATTCAAAGCAGATTCTAAAGTCTCTTTTCAAACAGAATCATTTATAGGATGAACCCAACATTGATATTTCAACCCATCCTGCCTAGTAGAATTAGCTGGAGGAAGAAAACTAGTTTGAACTGCAATGAAAAAATTCAGTCAGACCTTTGAATTAGTTTAATAAAATCAGCTTACAATTATGTTTTATATTAACCTGGGGCAGTCTGACTTGTGGAGAAGACTTTTTTTTAATAAGCAGTTGCTAAAATATGTCATACAATAATTTAACATCTGAGTCAATGTGTAAAGAATGAATCTGTCTGAAATTCAAGAAGATATTTTTGGTCGGAAGGAGCGGTTTGCTGAAATGAGAATTCTCCATGGAGACGTGTCAGGTTAGTTATGGAAATTCCTGGTTAGAATTTGTGGTCAAAATTCCCATGTGGAGGAAGTTCAGTGTCATGATCCCCACTAGAAAGATTTTCACATCTAGATTTTTACCAGAATTGCCTAATTTCTACAGATGTGTTCCCATCACTGCTTTAGGGTACGGGACTCTCCTTATTTTCATGCAGGTCTTGGGAAAATTTCTGAAGGCTTTCAGATGTTTTAATTTTCAGGATGAAATTTTTTAAAATAACAAAATTTGCCAAAAGGATTTATTGTTTTCCAGGCCTAGAAAGGAACTTGGAGGACTGTCTCCTCAGAAAATGTGCATTTTTATACTTGTGTTTTTTTTTAAATTTGGAATTATTTAGGTTGGAATGAGCCTAAAAGATTACCTAGTTCCAAATCCCCCCTGCCATGGGCAGGGACATCTTCCACTGTTCCAGGTTGCTTCAAGCCTGGTCCAACCTGGTCTTGAACACTTCCAGGATAGAGCAGAAGTACTTTTCTGGAAAACCTGTTCCAGTGTCTCATCATCTTCACAATGAATAATTTCTTCCTAATATCCAATTGAAATCTACCCTCTTGTAGCTTAACTACATTAATAAGTAAAATTAAGCTGATTTTATAAAACAGCAGATCTATTAAATCAAACCTAGATGCAATCCATGAGGTTGGAATCAGGGCCTGCAATCTCTAGATTAATTTTGAGATATTTTTTTTTTCTTTAGTGGTTTCTGTTTCTTTTTACTTTTGATGCAAATTGTCTCATTAAATACCAAGATCACTTTGGAAAAAGTCTGTGTTAAGAGAGAGAATTAACAGCAGCACAGGCAACCCAGTCAGTTTTCTTAGGAAAAGCCACATATTAGTAATTTGCTTGAGATTGAAAGAGGCTTTTAAAACTCAGAAAACATTGCTGTAGGAAGGGGAGAAATAAAGAATAAATGCTGTGCAGTGC